TCTTTAAACTCATAAATAGCCTTTTGTTCTCTGCAGAGCGTACCAACTGCCAAGCTTTTATGCCCTCCTCAGGCACACATTAACAAACTAACAGACATAAAAACAAAAACACATACATATACAAACGACACACACACACATACTCACACACACACACACAGATACACAAGTATATTAGACAACTCACATTGACACACTCACAGACAGAGGCCCTCACATAGTATATTATGCAGGCACCCGCAAGCTCATGATGTTACAGTCAAACTCATTTGCATAAATACGCATATGCACAGAAATATACACTCAAACAAACGCACGTTTACTTTTATCAAACCACATTGAGTACACATAGCTAACGTTTGGGGTTTTCATTTTTAAAATCTCATATTATGTTATTACAGTTTCATTCTAAGTCAGATGTTTTTTAATGGTGAAACATTGCTGCGTGTTTTCGTAAGTAGATAATTTACTATGCACTTTCAGCAACATTCAAGAGAAAAGAGACTGCTCGTTACATTCCAAGTAAGGGAGTGTCTGTTTTATATTTGCATTCTGTAATTCGATTGGAAAGATGTCACTTGCAGGAATCAATTCTGTCTTGACATTGTATGGCTGATATCTTCTATGGACCATTTACTCTTTAAAAAACACGGCACGTCGATGTACTCCCGTTACCACGATTCAGCAGCATATTATTATGGCCATGGTGTTAAGAAAGGCAGTAATATAATAATATCTTTGTATTGCACAATATGAGTTACACACCTTGGGTCGAAGATAATGATAAAACGTAAGCAAACTTAAACATCTTGTCCCAACACTCTATTTTGAAGACAAAAATGATGTGCTGATCATTAGATTAATAATATGCTGCATTGTCCTCTTTTTCTACATTGATGGGATGCCTGAAAATTAATAGATCTGCTGCATACCAGCTAAAGGTTGCAGATCCTATAAAGGTGAAATAACGCACTCTCTCTCTCTCTCTCTCTCTCTCTCTCTCTCTCTCTCTCTCTCTCTCTCTCTCTCTCTCTCTCTCTCTCTCTCACACACACACACACACACACACACACACACACACACACACACACACAAAACAAGGTTAACCACTGAGCCACCCTTGTGATACATTGTATCTACATTGACCGTATTGCCTTCTTTCACCCACTTCCTCTTTCTTGCACATGGCCGCTTGGCAAATTTTCCTGCTACCATTGTGTAAATGTGCTTGAAGGAAGGATGTGGGACAGGGGAGCCTGGAGAAGACAAAGCGTAACATGGGTGGACAACATAAACACAAGTACTTCTCTGGATAGAGCAGAATGTGTAACGGCAGCTTGCCACCAGCCGGAGAGCTTGGGTCAGGGGGATGCCATGAGTTGTTAAGTTTCCCTGACTCCATTTATCCAGGTCTTTCTCCGTCGCCCTCTAGATCTAGCCTTGTTGCCATTGATTTTTTAAATGTAGGAACGTTGTGCTGGATAGTGTGTTGGTAATCGCAGGAGATGTCCTAGCCATTTGATTCTTTGGTGTTGGATGTGATGCATGACATTATTTGTGCCCACCGCTTCTCTGATTACTGAGTTTCTAATTTTGTCTTGCCTAGTCTTGTTCACTGCTTTTCTAAGACATTACATTTCACATGTTGTAATTCTTTGCTCCAACGTCTTGTTCGTGGTCCATGTTTGCCATTGATAGGCGAGTGTTGGGATGAATTATATGGTGTTGATCATTTTGAGTTTTACATGTTGGGGATGTTAGGATGTTTCAGAAGTGGAGTAAGCTGGTAACTAACATTATTGGCCTTTTGTACTCTCTGTTCAGTCGCCCATCCTCTGTGAATATACTTCCGAGGTTCTTAAATTCTTGGACCTGTCTGAGGCTGTTGTTGTTGATGTGTATCCTGATAGGTCCTGGCTTTCTGCTTACTTTCATTGTCTCTGTTTTGTTGATGTTGAACTAAAACCATCACCACCAAAACCAAAAAAAAGCTATACTCCCCCCCCTTTCCCCCCCAA